ATATCACATGGGGATACAGGTTGGAGATCGGTAGCGTTACAGAAAAAATGAAAAACTGAAATATACACTACAATGGGAAAGTACAAGAGGAAAAAAAGAGACCTCTATTCATGCTGGGCTCCTGGGAGGACAGCATGAGAACAGGAAACAAAAAAACTCCTCTGCACAAAAAGCACATAATGTCCACAGCACAACATTATGGAACACGTGACAAGCCACAGGGTCGGGTGGGGGGTGAGGAGTAATCTGAAGCAAACACAGCAGCCACCCTGCCCAGCGCTACCATTGAATTAATCACTGGTAAAAGATGTGGTCAACACCTTCTGAAGATTGAAGATATGAACAATACTTTTATTGCACAAAAGGACAAGAGCGCGATATTAAAATGTAAAATTGGATCCAAGAAAAAAAACAACAACTGCGTTATGCTCCTGATACATTAGTTCTCCTGCTCCTCACATACAAGGTCTTAAATAATCAGGCCCCATCTTATCTTAATAACCCTATAGTACCATATCACCCCATTAGGGTGTTAATCATTAGTTATTATTAATCTTTGGCTGTCTTCCTCCCTTTACCCCAAAAGGTTGCAGCAGATGGCCCTCCTTCAGTCTGATAAGATTAAGGGAGCTTCTCCTTCCCACTTTTGCCAAAGTGCTTGCACATAGGGGGTTGTTGAGGTTCTCCTTGTATTATTATAAAGAGCCTTGAAGCGACTGTTGTTGTGATTTGTTTGAATTAAAACACGCTCACACAGAGCATGGTACCACAAAGCTAGCGAAAGACTCAGACTAATGTTGAAGTTGAGTGTATGCCAACCCCAGTCCTGCAGCCAGAGCCTGAACTTCACCAGGTAACAAGGGCAACGATTACTCGTGGCAATTGGTTGGTTTATAAAGTCCTGAACATTTTTGCCAATGTTGTCTTGGTGTTATGAAATCAATGTGATAACAAAGGAGAGGTTCAGGCTGTGAAACTACATGCATAATCCTTTGTGAAACACAAAATGACCAAAATTCACACAGCTGACTGTCAGAAAATTTGTTCCCCAGAAGACTTTTTCCAATCATAACTATCACCCACTGATGGCCACTAAAAAGGAAAGCAGGTTTAAAGCACTCCACCATTTGGCTAATTTTTCCGAACTGGAAGCTACGCCCATCTTCTGTACTGTCTGTGGTCTAAATTTGCAGCAGTTTGACTAGTCATGATCAAATTTCACCCTGGTAAGTAGTATTTGGTATATTTATTGCTGAAATCAGAAGTCACCTGAACACTGCAATCGCCGTATATCACGATATCATGATCATTTCCAAACTTTGTCATTAGGAAATTAGTTTGTGTCCCAGTTGTCCCCTGTAAAATTACTTATTCTAATTAGGCTTTGAAATTTGCATCTGAGTTAAGCTATACATTATTTAAAGGGCCCATACATGTCCAAATGAGCTAAATAATGTGTCTCACTTTTAAAATAATTTACAGTTTTGTGGCTTCGGTCCTTGCCTGAGAAACTGACTCCTGATACTTAAGAGAACAGATCTTTTATTTCTTCCTGTTCTGAATATATTTGTTATGGCATACCATGTGGATCTCAAAGTGATTTCTAGACTGTACAAGGGTCTACAAAAGCTTAAGAATTTGAATACAATCTACATTAAACAAAAATGGGAAAGAAACAAATATGGTCATCTCAAATGACACTTGGTATCAGCAATGTGCTTTTCAGTGGAGAATCTCTAGCTCTAATATATGGAGATGTTTAGGCTGGAAGAGTCTTTGTAGATTTTTTATTACACCTGCACAAAATAAACATTATTCTAACTCCTCCAGCTGCTGGAGAAACTGTGGGGCCCAAGGAGTAAAGCACTTCTATTTGTTTTTGTTTTTGGAGTTACAGACTATTCTCAGTATGCAACTTCCCTTTAATTGGGATGAACTATTGTTTGGATATTTATACTCAGTAAATGTGGATAAAGTGACCAAGCTGTTATATTGCATTTTGAGTCTGGCTGCCTGAAAGACTATCACTAAGAAATGGCTAAGTGTTAAAATTCCATCACTAAATGACTGGCATGAGGCCGTGTATGGGTTGTTTAAATAGAAAAAATGTCATTCTGTAACAGATTTCAATACGACACATTTGATTGGATTTGGAATAAACGGAAACATATTTTTTCAAGGCGACCTGAATTTGTTTAAACCTCTGTAATCCTGTATATGTTAACTAGTTGGTACACCCATTTGTTTGCTTTTGTTTATTCTTGTTCATACAGGTTGTTTTATTTTATGTTCCTTTTTTTTAAATGTATATTTTTGTCTTTGATAAATTCTAATGAAAAAAAAAAAAACAAAGAAAAAGTGAGGGGCATCCTGCACTGACTGGTATTCTTCACAATCCTGCAGACCTACATTGTGACTGGTTCAGGTTCCCCACCCTGTGGTAGCACAGTGTATTGTGTGTACTCTGGTCATGTTACCCTTAACTGATCGAAAAACTGCTGTAAAGACAAGACACATGAGATCACACAAGTCAAGCAGTAAAAATGATTTAGTAAAAAAGCCTTTATGCATTACTAACTATTTACACTGGTCAATAAGACCCAAGTCTAAAAAAGAGAAACAAAGATTATTAAGCAAGAAAAGGAGTCAAAAACCTGTGTTCATATTTGTTCTAATTTTGGAATAGAAAATCTAGAAAATCTTAGCTGCCACTGGCATTCAGCTTTTTACAAGACAGATCAATGAAACAGGTGCATTTACTATAGCTATAGCATTCAGAACAATAAAAGACATAAAACAATATTTATCTACAAACATAAAGAACAGTACAAAAGAAAATAAGTAAGTTCCACGAGAAAACTGTTAGGAAGATAAAAAGGGAAGAAGATATGACAGGAATGAACATTTCTACAAAGACAATCAGTGCATGTGTACATATTAAACTGCCTCAACACCTTACTGGAGTTAGTGCTTTGTTTTCTTGAGCAACCTGAAGAGAACACCTAGGAAGTAATTTAATGTTATAAAGTTCTGGCAGAAAAACATTTACCAGCAAATGCGACTCACAGCCCTGCGAACCCAAAAGGAAAAGTGCATTTTAGGAAGGAGTATGCCTTTAAAATAAGCGAGTATTTAAAGATCCGTGTACCTTTACAAACATGGATCGTTAACATTTTGTGACGTACAAGTGTGTGTTTCTAAGTGGAAGGCTGTGTACGTGCAAGTCCAGGCTGATCTACTGAACGTGACAGTTGTCTCCTTGCTGTGTTTGTTCTCTTAGTTGTTTTTCTGGTGTCTTCCGAGAACTCGGGGAACACTTCCTGTTGGCAGTGTCTGTTGCCATAGCAGCAGAGGGACTCTGCAGAGGTATGGGCCCCAAACCCTGAGGGGGAAAAAAAAAGTACATGACAGATGAAAGAGTGAATAAGTGAATCAGAAAGTATGCTGCAGGACGATTCCGTGAAAAACAAGTGAGTGCCTCCCATTTGTGTGTTAAAAGTGATTAGACTGAAAATTATTGACAGAGAAGGAATCAAAGTTAGAAGACACACGGATCAAAACGTAAAGAAGACTTTTATATGTTATCCCAATGATGGCATCACCATATAGATAAGCACTTTTACCGCAAAAGCACTTTTTAGAAATTCTGACTTATTACAATGCATGCTTCTATTACTGTGTCGCTGATATAAAATGGGTGCAGATTCGTTTAAAACTATGTTATTTCCCACGATACTAACAGATATAATAGTGGTTACAGAAGAAATTGTGCTATAATGAAAATGTGTTTCCAAATGGTTACTCTTTGAATGGCTGTAAAATTGATTTGGTTCCATTTTTTAAAAGAGCTTGAATGTGTTTTTATAAGCTAAAAGTACTGGGAAAAAAATTCTGAATAAAAAAAGCACCAAATGTCATCCCACTCCTTCAAGGAGCTATAACTCA